CTACGTTGCCATTATCCTGACCTCCATGATCTTTCAGGCGTTCAGGGCACACCTTTCTTGTGTGACCCTCCTTCTTACATTGATAACATCGAATACCAAATGTTTCGCCATTATAAGACTTCTGTTGAATTTTACCTTTCTTCTTGTCGAGCTTACCATCCTTTCGCAAGAATTTTCCCTTAACGATCAAACCTTCGCCCACCGTCGAAGGTTTATGGTCCTTTCGTTTGTTCAAGTCCTTAAAATACAAGGCTGATTGAACTTCTTCAAAGCTCAGGGACTCCCTTCCATACAAGAGAGTTTCTTTGAAGTGAGCATGTGTTCTGGGCAAAGCACACAACAACAACAGTGTTTGATCTTCATCATCGATCTTCACATAAATATTTTCAAGATCGAGAATCAGCTTGTTGAACATATCCAACTGTTCAGCCAACGCTTTGTCTTCACTCATCTTGAATGAATACAAAGCTTGCTTCAGGTAGAGTCGATTCACCAGAGATTTGGTCATGTAAAAACTTTCAAGTTTCACCCATAACCTCGATGTTGTAGTCTGCTTTGATACTTGTCGAAGAACCTTATCACCAAGGCTTAACAATATTGCGCGGTGGGCTTTCTCAATCATGGTCGTCTTTTCTTTTTCCGTTAACGCATCGTCCATGGTTACCTCTCCCTTCAACGCTTCCAAACAACCCTGCTGAACCAGTAGGGCTTTCATTTTCAAGCGCCACAAATCGAAGTCGTTCACTCCGGTGAACTTTTCAATCTCATACTTTGTTGAAGGCATCTTCTCCATGCTCACCGCATCAATTTTTTGTGAATAGAATGCCTTGAAACAAAATATAAACGATTTTTTATATTCAAGAAACACACAAGGGTTAGAGTTAATAAAGAAAACTAGGTAAAACAACAAGGATTGATTATAAACTGTTATTCTTTCTCTTATCTATCAAACAAGATTACAAATATACAAGAATAACAAATAACCTCTCTCTTGAATTATGATTTTATCTTCCTATTTTTTCTTATACAAGTTAAGAGACTAACATGCTATTTATAAAAAAAACTAACACACTAACCTAATGAGCTTTTTAACAATTATCCATTACAAACTAACTTAAATAATTGGGTTTACAAGTAAGACCCAATTCAACATACTAACAAACCTAACAATATTGACTAATGCATGTTAGAACAAATTTAGAGTACAACACACATTACTCGCGAACAAACTTCGATCATACTAAAGTTCGATCTAATATTTCACAATAAATTTATAAAACGAATTTATAAACTAGATGAGTGTGGGTGCTTCTTAAGTTACACCTTAGGAAAGACATAAAGTAGAACAAGGCATGATCATGTGCTTATGTGCTTATAAATGCTAAAGAAAATAAAAAAATAAAAGGTAGATTAAAGTCTTATTATAGGGATTCTGAATAACTTGGTGTGTAGACCACGATTTGTATTGTCACCTAGCCCTTCAATGTATGAAAGTGTGTTTTCATTTGAGGTTTGATGTCTCGTATTTGGAAAATAATTGTTCATCGGGTAGTGCTGTCGAGCATGTGGAAGTGGGACATTTGCAGTAACCACGACAAAATTGACCGAACTTTTATGTACCAACAAAAGATAGTGAATCCCTTTGTGGTGTTGGCTCTTTTAGGATATTTCTAGAGATATTTTTAAGGATTTTTTACCCCAGTGCCCCTTTTTGAAAAAAATAATCCCAAAATACCCCATTTTGAAAATTATTTACCAATGTGCCCCCTTTCTTGTGTGGGCTCGTCCATTCATTGGACCAACACCCCAAGCCCAGTACACGCTCGCCCAATGGAAGGACGAGCTAGGGGAATTTTTTCAGCAAGCTTAAGCTCGTCCATTGGAAGGACGAGCATGTGGTACTTTTAATTTTTTTATTTTTTTTATTTTCTGAATTATATTTATGTATTATTGGATTTATTTATTTAAACATTTAATATTTATTTATTATAAGTAATAATAAAATAATAATATAAAATTTAATAAATAATAAAATTTTATTTTTTTTAATTCTTAATTTATGTATATTTATTTTTTAATACATTTTTTATTTATTTATTTATGAATTGTAAATAATAAAATTACTAATGTTTATTTTTATAAATAATAAAATTTTATGTATTAAAAATACTCATCAATAAAAAAAAATTTACTTAATAAAAATTAAATTATTAAATACTCATGAATAAAAAATTAAATTATGAAATACTCACTAATAAATAATTTTAACATTGATTAAAATAAAAATACAATTCATCTAATATGTCCCCCAGTTCCACACCTAGGGATCCTTCGCTGTCTATGTCCCCTACCCAAACGCTCATTTCTAGTCGATTCAGAAGAGTCAGAAGACATGTCTTCATGGTGTAGTGTTGTAGGGGGGTTTGTCGGCCGTGAAGAGGGTCCCGGTTGCTCATCAAGAAGATCATCAATGTTAAAATCCGGCATCTGCATCAGTTGCTCGTCTGTCAACAAAAATTGTTGGAATGAGTGTGGTGGTTGCGGTGGTGGCGGGTAGGTTTCGGATGGGGGGTGTTGAAAGGTTGGGTAGTAGACGTTATCAGGCGTAAAGTTCTGGGAGGGTTGAGTATAGGTAGTGTTGATGGTCGAGGCGGGTTGAGAGTAGGTTGTGTTAGAGGGTTGATTTTGGAAAGGATGGTCGGTATGGTCAAAGAGGTGCGGTTGGACAGGGGTGAACTGTCTGGGTGGTCGTAGGTATGGTTGTGGATGATATTGTTGGTTGTATGGGTAGGTATAGGTTTGTTGATGGAGTGGGTTGTTGGGTGTTTGGTTTTGGTATGAATGTTGGGATGTGTGGGTTGGTGGCACATCCTGATGCATTGATGCCGTAGTTTGTTGTGTCGATGATGATCCTTGCAAGCGTGGGTCCGTTAAAAATTGGTCCGGAGCAATGTGCACATAAGGAATGGCACGAAACCAAGTTAAATACTCTTGACTTGGCTTGCGTTCACCTAACACGACAGCCCCTTGTAAAATCACATGTCTCCTGTTTCTCCATTCTTTGAGCTCATCGCTGTTTAATTGTCACCAATTAACTCTTTGTGCCTTTCTCATAGTCATGGCGTGGTGTTCTCTTAGACACCTTGGGGGGGGCGGAATTTGTTGATCAAGTCCAAACTGGAGTGTTACTCTATCTGTTTGATGCATCTCAACGGTATAGAAACAGATAAGGAATGTTGTTGCACTCCAGATTTGACTATCTTCAAGCCTCGGCAGCGGATATCGGATGTACGGTCTCCATATGAACTGCAAAAAAATAAGGAAATTAATATACCGGTAATGAGTTGAATTGAAGACTATTTCCACGGGGTTTGAAACTTACATCGTTTTCTTGCATATGGTCCAAAGCGTTTCGATAACCTTGGAGATGGAAACGAGGATTTGCACGGTAGTTCATCCCTCGTTGCGCCCATCTTTTTTACCAAAAACATTTTTGTCGGAGATAGTTGAATAAAAAATATTGTTATAGATAGTTGAATAAAAAAATATTTTCCCAATGTACACATAAATGAATATTTTAATAAAGTAATACCTTTGGGCATATGGATACGAGGGTTCCACTGTGGTGACAGGAGCAAACAATGGGATACGTGTGAATGCCCATGATGTTAATAGGAGTGCACATCCGCTCAAGCTCCTAACATCTTTCACTGCCGCCTTACACATTTCTCTATACAATTTAGCTAGACATGCAGAACCCCAACTATAGGTGCCGCATTTTATAAGATCCCCTACGAAAGGGATCCAAGAAGAATGTAATAGATTCTGACTTTTGTCAGGAAACATTATTGTAGCGATTGCAAGTAAAATATATATTTTAGCTTCTAAGAGAACGTCTTCTTGGGTAGGGGCAGATTTTTGTTTTAAATCTGCGTATAAACCCTCTAGCCAGGTTATTTTAACGGAACATTTTATTTTTTCATCTTCAGTAGGTTCCACTCCTAAGTTTTCCATGTATACATAGTTTGTTACCTCAGTGGGACCGTTGATGGCTGGTCCATCAACTCGCAGACCAAGTAACATACAGACATCTTCAAGAGTTATTGTGCATTCGCCCGTTGGTAGGTGAAACGTGTGTGTTTCTGGTCTCCACTTCTCCAACAGCGCCACAACCAAGCTGGAGTCGATTTTCAGACTTTTTATTTTTGAAATATTTGCAAAACCGGCTATCTCAAGATACGGCATTATTCTTGCATTTGCATCAATAGGAGCATGCGAATGTACTCTAAACCTTGGGGCATTTGTCTGCAACAACATTGAACAAACATAATGTAATCAAAATTTATTTTATTAAACTACTAGAAATAATATATAATGAAATGATATTATTAACAAACTTACGCTTGCTTGGATATTCTGCTGTGTACCACGGTGTTCTTCGCCCATCCACAAAATCGACATGGTGAAAAATCGAGGAGTAGAGAATTGAAATACTTGTGTTAGAAATTGAAGTGAGTGTAGAAAGTTTGAGTAGAAAGTTTGAAGTAAAAAACCTAATTTATAGAAAAATTATTATTCATGCATGCAAATATGAATAAATTATGTCAAATTTATTGTCTTGAATGACTATTGCATGCAATACTAGTCTTCATGCATGCCTTGTTACCTCATGCGTAGGCCTTACACATTTGTTCTTTGCATGGAGACAAGCCAACACAAGCTCGCCCATGCATTGGACGAGAAAGCTGACACCAACACAAGCTCGCCCATAGAAGGGACGAGCGTTTAGTCAACACGTTACAAGAACGGGCTTTGAATGGACGAGCTCATGGTAGTATAGAATTGAGGAAGTCCTTTTGATGGACGAGCTTGTAGGTAGGCGTATTTTTTATTTCTCTCATATATATGTGTATATGAAAATGTTCAAAACATACTACTAGCAATATTCATAACCACTCTACTATCATTCTTCACCACCAAAAAATTTTCCGCATTCAAAAATGTCTCTGAGAAACCTAATTCTTACATGCCACTACAACGGTGTTTTTACAACAAATAGCCCCGACGGTTTTTCGTTCAGCAACACGGATACGTACGCGTTTAAAATTCATGTGAATTCTGATTTTTCCCATTTGAAAGATAGAATGGAAAAAAAATTGACACGAAGCGTTTCAGAAATATTTTATCGCCATCCAACACTTATTGAAGACGCGCGTACAATTTTTTACTTAATGACGCCGATCAGAAACGACGAAGATGTGATTGCAATGTTTCGGTGCCACACGATGTTTGATAACTTACATACAATTGAGTTGTATGTTCGACTAATAGACAACCCCGAAACATTTCCAACACAAGAGACACAGTCACACTGCTACGGGTACAGTCAAACATCCGACGACGAGCCAACACAAAACAACCTCCCTTTCATACCAAATGAGGAGGTTGGAGAAGCAAGCGACGACGATATCCAGGAGGCCAGGATGCAAGATATTTTTGGTGACAGTGATGACGAAGACAATGAAGATATGGACGTAACGCCGCCGATCCGTGCACAACCAATAAGTTTGTACAACCCGCCCACTCACATGCAAAATATATGTGACGAAAACGACAATACAACCTCCGTGTTTGAAAATGCTACTCAAAACCATGTAGGTGAAGAAATCGAAGTTGGAATGGAGTTCGACGACAAGGATGCTTGTGTATTTGCTCTGCAGCATTGGCACATAACACACAGTGTTGACTATTGGGTGCATAAGTCTGACAATAAACGGTATGTCATTAAATGTAAGAAACAAGACTGCGGTTTCAAGTGCAGAGCTTCTTTGAGAAAAAGGAGCTCGAAATGGGTGATAGGTAAGTTGTCTGGGGCACACACATGCAGTTCAACGTCTATGGCACAAGACCATAGGAAGCTCAGTTCAGAAATGGCTAGCCATAGCATCAGGGAACTTGTCAACACCGACGCCTCACTCAAGGTAAAAGTGATCATTGCCCATATTCTAGAAAAATACGGGTACATCATATCTTATAAGAAGGCGTGGATCGCTAAGTGCAAGGCGGTAGAGTCGCTTTTTGGAAATTGGGAAACATCTTACAACGACCTACCGCAGTGGTTACTGGTAATGAAAACCTTTCTTCCAGGAACCATTATAGATTTAGAAACACTACCTGTGATATCAAATGAAGGTTACCAACTCTCTGGAAAACGAATATTTCATCGTTTGTTTTGGGCATTTCGTCCGTGTATACGTGGCTTCGCCTACTGTAAGCCCATTGTGCAGGTAGACGGAACTTGGTTGTATGGTAAGTACAGAGGAACTCTATTGATGGCGGTGGCACAAGATGGGAATGCAAATATTTTCCCAATAGCCTTCGCATTGGTCGAAGGTGAAACAAAGGAAGCGTGGAGTTTTTTCCTGAGGAACCTAAGACTACACGTGACACCGCAACCAAATTTGTGTCTAATATCAGATAGACACGAATCGATAAAGAGTGCATACAACAATCCCGAAAACGGATGGCTTCAACCAACATCCTCCCATGTCTACTGCATAAGGCACATCGCTCAAAACTTCATGCGCGAGATCAAGGACAAGGCTCTACGCAAAAAACTTGTTAACATGGGTAAGAAAACAATTTTTTACATTTGTATCTCAAGTTTCGTAGCACACTGTTATCATTTTTTCACACACTTTTTCTTATAGGTTACGCATTAACAGAGGCTACATTTAATTACTACCGCGGAGAAATCAGAAAAACAAACATTGAGGCTTCGAACTGGATAGACAACATTCCTAGGGAGAAGTGGGCCAGAGCATTTGATGGAGGGCAACGTTGGGGACATATGACATCTAACTTGGCAGAGACAATAAACTCTGTACTAAAGGCAACAAGAAACCTTCCCATCACTGCATTAGTCCAGTCTACGTACTATAGAATGGGTTCGCTCTTTGGTAAAAGAGGTCACAAATGGACCAAGATGTTATCTTCAGGGAAAGTGTTTACAGATGGTTGTAACAAAGGCATGGCTGAAGAGGTAGCTAAGGCTAACACACACAACGTCATGCAATTTGATCGCGAAAGATTCTGTTTCATGGTGCAGGAAAGGACTAACTATAACGACGGTCGTCCAACGGGTACTTTCCGTGTTGACTTGCGTAGTCGATTCTGTGACTGTGGAAAGTTTCAGGCATTTCACTTGCCTTGCTCTCACGTGATAGCGGCATGTTCTAGCATACGACAGGACTACACAATTCACATTCCAGAGGTCTTCAAAGTTCTAAGCGTGTTCAAGGTCTACCAGGAGAGCTTCCTGGGACTACCGCACGAGGATAACTGGCCAAAGTATGAAGGTTTTACTCTATGCCACGACGATTCCATGAGAAGAAATAAAAAAGGGCGTCCACATAGTACTAGAATTAGAACTGAGATGGACGACGCAGAAAAAGAGCAAAGAAGATGTGGTATTTGTAGAGAAATAGGTCATATGCGTAGAAAATGTCCCAACGTTGCTGGTCCGTCAAACCGACCAACTAGATAATTTATTGTACTACTTTTGTATGTAATCCTTCAAATATTTTTAATTCAAAACAACTTTAAAATTACAAAAACACACGCGAACTACAAGCATAAATTAGACCCGTGACTCCGCAAACACAAAAAAGAAATACCAGAAGATAACATAAACTCTAACAAACAACAAGGACCAACACAAAATCTAACAAACTACAGCGACCAACACAAGTGGATCTGTGACTCCTCTGTTTACTTCGCCGCTATGTGCTGAAAACATGCAATGGACATCTTCATCGTTTTCTATACGATCTAGGTAGTACATATAAGTCCCCTCCGGGCTAGCATCGGTAAGCGTTATATATGGACAACGATACTCAATCTTCCTCACTGTCACGCGACGACCTCCCAGCTGCCGAAATCCGGTGTTAATTGCTGCAACCAATGTTCTGAAATTCCACAAAGGATCTAGGTTAATACTGATTTTTTTCTCTGGCCCATAGAAAACAAGAGCTTCAACCGACATTTTTATGATTAAGATAAGTGGTCACGAATGATACTTGGTGATGAGCAACACACTTATTTATAAAAAAAAAATAACGTTTGAGCTCGGTCATTCAGTAACCGAGACTCTGTATTCATTATTTTTTTATTCGTATACAATATAATTATTTAATTATTTATACTCATCTAATTTAATTATACAAACAATAATTTATTTATAACAAATTATTTATACTCATTTAATTCTTAATCAATGACTATTTAATAATTTATTTTTCAAAAAAAAAACATTATTTTTCGTATTAATTATACTTAAAATTTTATTATTTATTCAAATTAACATTAAAATTTTATTATTTATAAAAATTAAAATTAGTAATTTTATTATTTATAAAAATAAACATTAGTAATTTTATTATTTACAATTCATAAATAAATAAATAAAAAATGTATTAAAAAATAAATATACATAAATTAAGAATTAAAAAAAATAAAATTTTATTATTTATTAAATTTTATATTATTATTTTATTATTACTTATAATAAATAAATATTAAATGTTTAAATAAATAAATCCAATAATACATAAATATAATTCAGAAAATAAAAAAAATAAAAAAATTAAAAGTACCACATGCTCGTCCTTCCAATGGACGAGCTTAAGCTTGCTGAAAAAATTTCCCTAGCTCGTCCTTCCATTGGGCGAGCGTGTACTGGGCTTGGGGTGTTGGTCCAATGAATGGACGAGCCCACACAAGAAAGGGGGCACATTGGTAAATAATTTTCAAAATGGAGTATTTTGGGATTATTTTTTTCAAAAAGGGGCACTGGGGTAAAAAAATCCTATTTTTAAAGTGGATATGCTACTTAGACTCTATTGATTTGTAAAAGACTGAGTATTTAATAAAACGGTTCATAGTAGAGTTTTAAAATGTTGTTTTTTTCTTTCATTTTATGATCTTATTGGTATTCGTTGAATATATATATATATATATATATATATATATATATATATATATATATATATATATATATATATATATATATATATATATATATATATATATATATATATATATATATATATATATATATATATATATATATATATATATATATATATATATATATATATATATATATATATATATATATATATATATATATATATATATATATATATATATATATATATATATATATATATATATATATATATATTAGAAGTACACCGTGTCATGCACGGATAAGTTTGATAAAATAATTTGGATAATTTAAAAAAATAATTTTAAATACATAATTATTAGTTATTTAATTAAAAAATAATTTTAAAATTATAATATTATAAAAACAATGAGATATAGACTTGTGAACTTAAAATAAAATGAAAGAAAAAATAATGATAGAAGGTAAATGAAATTAAAAAAAGTTTATTATAAATTGTTAAAGTTATGTATGTTTAATTTTCTTAATAAAATAAATTAAATTAAATTTATAATAAAAAGTAGTAAAATTTAATAGTTCAAATGTTATTGAAAGAGACCAATAGTAAGATAATTAACAATCTATTGAAATACTATGGGTTAAAAGTTTAAAGGTGAAAGATATAGGGTGAACAATAAAGTTTGTAGGTGTGTGATTGTTAGAGACACACCAATCCCCAATTACAATTAAAGTTATTGAAAATATCTTGTCCAACTTCTTATAATTTTTTTTATTCTTTTGTTTAAATACCTATTTATGTCTTTATGTCTTAAAAAACACATGAATAAGAATTCATGGTATGAGCAAATAAAAAAGTGCAAACCAATTTATATAATAACAAAAAATTCTTTCATTTTGCTTGCCAGACATTTTAGGAATTGTTTACGATAGTAAGGAGAAATATAATTCTTTTTGTAGTTAATATATATATATATATATATATATATATATATATATATATATATATATATATATATATATATATATATATATATATATATATATATATATATATATATATATATATATATATATATATATATATATATATATATATATATATATATATATATATATATATATATATATATATATATATATATATATATATATATATATATATATATATATATATATATATATATATATATATATATATATATAAAAGAATAAGTATAATAGGTGGTATTTTTAATAATTAATTTATTGAAATTATAATAATTACAGAAGACTTTTATTGGAAAAAGAAATTTCTACCGAAGTCAATTATATTAATTGCTTTAATGAGTTATAGTTGGCTTTTATATAGTAAAATAAATATACTATAAGTGGTTTTTATATTATGATTTAAGTTAATGGGATTAGTGGAGAGAGAAATATTTTTAATTAATTTTCTTATTTAGTAGAATTATAAAAGGTGTTTTTATTTTATGAGTTAAGTTAATTGAATTAGTGGAGAGAGAAATATCTTTAAATAGTTTTTTTTTTATTTAGTAGAATTATAATAGGTGGTTTTTAGAGAAAAAATAGTTTCAATTAATATTTTATTTAGTAGAAGTATAACATGTGGTTTTTATTTTAAGAGTTATTGTTAATGGGGTTAGTGGAGAATAAGTAATAATAGGTGGTTTTTATTTTAAGAGTTATAATTAATAAAACTATACTTAATTTTTTAAACTATGTGCAATTAAATATTTCTCTAACCGTGAAATTCTTATTCCTCTGCGAAACTAAAAAGTGAAGAAATAATTAAATAAAAATAAAATATAAGTAAGACAGTAGAAATAACTAATAATAATAATATAATAATAAAAAAATTAAATTATATGTGTATTTCTTCCCTTCATAACTATAAAAATGATAGAAAGATTTTAATAATTTGACAAAAATTGATGATGTGTTTGTGTTTATATACTATATTTATACTCTTAATGGATATAATATATTAGATGAAATTCAAATAAGAAAGCTATCGAGTTGACGATATTTTGATCATATCGATAGTAAATTACAGGCAAAAAGAAATTAATGGTATAATACCAGCAAAACTTATATAAGTAAGTGAATAGAAAAACAAAAAAAAAAAAACATATAATAATATATTTAATTAATAAAATATAAAAATTAAACAACATAAATGAAGAATATCTTATGAAAATATATTATAAAATATTAAATTAATGAAATAAAAATATTACCAAAAATGAAGAATATCTTATTTGGTATGTAATTTTTTTTCAATGACATGTTATACCTGAAAAAAAATGAAAAAAAAAAAATTAAATAACATAATTGAAGAATATCTTATAAAAATATATTATAATATATTAAATTAATGAAATAAAAATATTAAAAATAAAAATGAAGAATTTTTTATTTTCATATGTATTTATTTTGTTTATGACATGCTATATCTACAAAAAAAAAACACAAGTCACTATGCTAAAAAAAATCTTTAGCAGCGCTGCCTAAAGTGGCGCTGCTGTAACTAAAGACAACACTTTTTTTAAGGATAAAGCGCTGCTAAATGTCCCTTGAAGCGCTTCTTTATAAAAGCGTCTCTAATGTCACATTTAGGCAACATTTTTTTCATGAAAAACGCTCTCTTGTCCCCCTTTAGCAGCGCTTTTGAAAAGCGCTGTCTAATGTATTATTTTTTCAGATTTTTAGCAGCGCTTTTTAATGAAAAACGCTATCTTTTCTCCTCCTTTAGGCAACACTTTTGAAAGTGCTTTTTAATGTATTGGTTTTAGCAGCGCTTTTAAATGAAAAGCGTTCTCTTTTTCCCCCCTTTAGCAGTGCTTTTCAAAAGCGCTTTCTAATGTATATTTTGTTGAGGTTTTAGCAGCGCTTTTCTGTAAAAGTGCTGCCTTAGGTCCACTTTTGGCAACGCTTTTCTTAGAAAGTGCTTTCTTTTATTCACGTTAATGGATGTTTTCAAAAGCACTTTTTTAAAAAGAACTCTTTATGAAAGCGTTTTTTGTTAGAAGCTCTGTCTATTGTGCATTTTTTAAGAAGCATTTTTTGTTAAAATCGTTGGCATAAGTCTTATTCTTTACTTATAAAATGGAACCACAAATCATATAGGCCTTATATACTTTTATAATTCAACACATAAACCTGCTTATAACCATTATAATTTAACACAAGCCTTTATTTCAACACGTAGTCCTTATATATATACCATTATAATTCAACGCATAAACCTGCTTAATTCAACACAAACCTCATAACCATTATAATTCAACAAATAAACCTGTTTAATTCAATATAAATCTCATAACCATTATAATTTAACACAAACCTCCATAATTCTAATAAAACATATTCACTTCCAAAACCTTTAACTTCTAAATATTCATTATACATAATTACAAGTTCCATCAACTCACAACAACTTCTAGAAGTATATATACAACAACTTGCAAAATTATACAACAACTTCCAAAATTATTCCTATTCAGTAGTACAGAACATCACAACAACTAAAATCTCTAAAGACCATAAACTTAATATAAAATAAAGAAATACAATATATC